CGATTTTCTCCCTCAAGATCAAAAACTTCAGTTTCTTTGGATTTCTTTCAAAAGAATTGCATTGTCCTGAAGGAAAATAATAGAAGAAAGGTCTACAGATAGGATTCAGAAGTTCCTTCTTTACTCTCTTCCACGTGAGGAAGTGCTCTCTGAAGTGGAAGGCACAAAAATTCAAGATCAAATGAAACTGGGGGAGTGTTTGAGGACTGGGGTTATGATGTCAATTCTGCATTAAAAATATAGAAAATTTGAAAAAAAAATGTATTTCCAGCTAGTATTACAGCAAGCTGAAATTCTTATTCTTAAGCTGTCGTTACCTAGGATTACTTTTTTAATACATCAGCCCAATATTTAAGTATTTTCTTTATCAGGTTGATGTTGTCAAGAGCAGTCTCAGACTCACAACCAAAATCAGGGCACTCTCTGGGGGAGGATTCCCAGCCCAGGACATTCAGAAGACACTCAGGATTTCAAGAAAAGACTATTTCACTCAAGTATCTTTTAGTGGTTTGTCCTGAAGAGCAAATGTCGCTCCTGCACCCCTCATTTTCCCTGTGCAACATTCCAAAAAGGTTGGTTACCCAAGAGATTCCTCCGTTCCTCTCCCTCAATGTCACTCTGTCCCAGTCTCTTTGCAAATCTGAGTCTGTTCTCTCCAAACCCTCATTCTGGCACTTACCATTAAACTGTCAAACAGTGACACAATACAACCCTACCTCTGAAGTGATTTAAAAGCCAAAATAATCTTTTATTACCAAGAAGTGAACAAGCTCTCTAATGTCATTTCTCTACTTCTACCCTGTTACCTAATAAAACTCGGGAGAAAGGCAACCAGAGGATCAAATACTTTTGCAAAACTTGAGAGGTTAATTCCACTCCTTAATTATTTATACATGTAAACTCACACCTACATAACATTCCAAACAAGCACAGATATTTACTGTGCAGTGCTGGAACACCCTGCATGCCAAAATCCCAGCCCACTGCTCAGAGTGCTGCATTTATGACAACACAAGGAGCGAGAACAACTACTGGTTAATTTAATTTACTACGAGGGGATTGAGCAATCAACACTTACTACCAGGTCCTTTACTGACAGTTGTGCAACTCCAGGGAGGATCTCACTGGCAGCCTCCACAACTGGCACTTTCTGATGCCATTAAGAACCTCAAGGGAATAATCCAAATGCCACCTCAGGTGTCCTTAACTCCTTTTGTCTCGTTCTGGGAATGCCAACAGGACTCACTGATAGAAGAAAACACCTTCTGCTGCTGGTTGTGAACCACAAAGAGCCACAGCAGCCACGGCCTTCCCAGCTTGTAACTCGGCCTCTGAACCCCAAGGGGAACAAACACACAATTCCTGCTGCCCAGACCCCTCTGGCTCCTGCAGGAATGTCTTTAAACAAGGATCAGGGCATCTTCTATGAAGTCCTCTCCAAACTGCTCTCACTTCCCAAGAACAGTCACCTCTTTCCAGGCTGACAACTCTGCAGTATCTGATCTCTCACCACACAGAAACTCCGAATTTTAGGTCATTCCTGACACTCTTTGCTGTACCTTTCCCAGCTCCAGTGTATGAAGTGTTATGCAACTTGCATCCCAATTTCCCGAGGCTGACTTGTGCCTTTGGATCCACCATGGCAGCTAATCCAGACACTTGAGGAAACATCTTCCTGCAAGCCCAACATCAGATGAGTAACCCTTAGTCACAGGAAAAGTCAAATTAATTTCAGTAAGGCTCCCTTTATGATGAAGGATTATTCACAGGAAGACTGTTTGCCAGCTGGGTCGAAGTTTTAATACAGAGCCTCAGTATTACCTCAGAACATTTTGTCTCTAAATAGTTATTAGACAACTCTTAATTAGTATTTAAATAAACTGGCCCTTACAATGGGTTGTTAAATACTGTTTATCAAAACAGACATTCTTTTTCAGAAGGAGCAGCAGACATTTTGACTGCTGCAAAAACAGAGTGAAGATAAATATCATTTCTTCTAGAAACAGCAAATAAAGTGTGTTTTTAAAGAGCAAACCTATTACAGTGGCATACAGAGATTAAATAAGTTATTATTTGAGGTGTCCTCTGATGTCAAATATCAAACCTTACTGGGAAATGCTTTACATTTGGAGCAAGATCCCGGATTTCTTTGTGCAGGACTTGTGCCTGCCAGAGCACACCAACATTAACCCATTTTCCAGAGCTGGATTCCCGCTTCAGTGGAGAACAACACACAGTGGTGCTGGGAAGGGCTGCAGGGCCGTGATTCCAGAGGGACGATCCAGGAAACCAAGCCCCAGCCCACCCTCAGCACCTGGACACTCCCAGGGAGCTCTAAACCTGCACCTCAGCCCCTGCCTTCCCCCCCAGGTGACGGACTTTGAGCTGAGAGCACTGAGCACATCCTCACTTTTTAGATGTCACTGATTATAGACTCAGTTACTAAAGAAGATATTTCCTGTTAAAAGATGCAGAAAAAGCAACAGCACCTGACCTGCCTGAGGTGTCTGCAGAAAAACAGAAATTACAGACTGTTAAACCAACCCAAACCCACACGGAGCTCTGCCCTCTCTGGATGGGGAGATGGAATTCCTCCTTCCACAGAAATATTATTTAACCGTAAGCAAACAGGATCACAATAGACTATAATCTCTCAGAACTGCGATTCTCCGGTCACAAACGTTTCTTTGTGATTCACACCCAAAACAAATAATAAAAAAAAAATTAAAAAATCAACTTCAAACAGCCCAGTTGAAGAATTATTTGTAATCTACCTCGCTCCCAAAGAATGAATGGATTCCCACCAACAGCTGATTTAGATTTGGTTCTGTGACACTGGAAAAGTAAATGATTAGCAAAAGTTTCTCTAATTACTAATCCAGACTACTGTAGCTTTAACACTTCATAAATTTTGAGATGAATATGACAATTTGAGGTTAAAGGGTCAACGTGTTGGCCACACATTTCCAGTCAGTATTTCCGTTCTCAATATCTTTTGCTGATACGTAAATCCTAACAAATACTAACATAATACAAAATAAACCTCCCTAACAGCTTTCATGTATGCTATATTAAAAGAAAAAAAACTGGCTTTATTGCATATTTTTTTTTCAAGCAGAGCCAGAACACAATAAAAACAGAGTTTCATACGCAGCACCACATTAAGGTAGAGATACCTCCCACTAAATTACACAGGAGATTAAAGGGCTGCACATTAAACTCATTATTATTAAAGCCACTTGTAAAAGAAGTTCGTTAAACTTCTTTCAGTGATATCACACACTCATTCCAAATTGAACATTTCCCTGTTCTAGTCAGGTGGGAGGGGGGGAAAAAAAAAGGCAAACGAACCACAATAAGTAGGAAATAGCTTCACTTTATAATTTATGCTAATGGCATGCCAACAATTATTTTTCCCAGTGACAGATCCGCAGATTGCAACTCCAGCAGCCAGTTCTGCCTCTCCAAACACACACTCCGGGCTGCATTAACGACCGGGGACTCCCACAATCACCCCCGATTGTTCCCTCCGTGCTTCCCGCTTTATTTTCCTGGCTGGGTAAGAGCAGCCTAGTGGAAATCACAGTAACAATCCCCCAAATCACCGTTCCTGCCTCTCGATACACTCGGCTGCTACATATTTATAAATATTACAGAACGCCCTCAAAGAGAGGCGCGGAGACAAACTTACATAACGTTACAGTCAGTAACCAGCCAAAGTAAGAATTGTGTCTATTCTCACACAGCAATCTCCGGGTTTTCCAGCGGCACAAGTGGCTACGGCTCTTGCCCCAGATTCTTAAAAGGAATGAGCAAAAAACGCCAAACATGCATAGATTTAAAAAAAAAAAAACAGACACGATAACATACTTCCATAAAGTTAAAAAGTATAAAACAAAGAGCTTGGTCATCTGCATTTTTAATTACTTTCCCCTCTTTTTTCCCCCCCTTTTCTTAATTTTTATAAGGGAGCTAAAAACAGCCTCCTCTTTCCTATCAGAAAAGGCACAGCACACGCACACCCACCTCGAATTCTGGCAGAGCTCTGATGCGGGGCGGGGGCACCCACCACAAACCTCTCACACGTGCTGCCCCCAAAGTTGCATCACAAGGTTTTAACTCCACCGCACCGCGCACCAAAGAAGTCCCTCCTCCCCTCCGACATTATCCCTGTAGCGCCAGAAGGCTCCCGATGATCCAACGCCGCTCAGCTGTTGCCCAGCCAGAAGGGATAATGTTGTTGCGTGTGCCAGGTAAAATAAAGCAACGTATTTCCAAACGACTCTGCGCCCTTGCACAAACGAATTTACGTTTTAAATTTAAATTGCCAGCCTGTCTCAAAACCGATACCGCGATTTCTGCAGCGTTAAATCCACGTCGGAAGTTGTCAGCTCCCAGAGAGACGGGCAGGCAGCATCTCTGCAAACAACCCGACACACTACGCTGTCAGCCACCGCTTTTTCCGCAGAGAAGAAAAGAATTAAAAGGTTCGGGTTTGTTTGGTTGGGATTTTGGTTGGGATTTTTTTTTTTTTTTAACCTCTCGCCCCCGAGCGCGACACAGGCAGAGAGCAGAGCAGGCTGTAACAACAGCTGACACGCCGTCACCGGAGCCCAGAGCTGCGTCCGACAGGCGATCACACTCCATGAGCGTTCGCCGCCGCTGAAATGGCGTTTGTCATTGTGAGAGGAGGGAGAACCCCCCCGGCTCGGCGGCACAAAGCGCGCGGGGCTCGGGGTGCCAGGGGAGGAGCCGCCGTGCCCGCTGTGCCCCGGGGGAGCGGGGACACCCCCGGCCCCGCCGCGGCCCCGGCGGCGAGCGGGACACGCGAGTTACCGAGCAAAATAAACACGGGCAGCGGGCCGGGGGAGGGGCCAGCGCGGGAGCAGCCCCGGGCCCTGCCTATAAACCCCCGGCAGCGTCACCCAGCCGGCAAACCCGGCTCGGAGCCACCCCGGGCACCCGCCCAGCGCCCCCCGCCCGCTCACACGGGCACTCACCAGCGAGAAGAGGTTGGAGTGACAGTCCTCCAGGCTGGCCCCGTTCGCCACCCAGTTCGCCGCCGCAGTCATGATCCTCGGCGAGCCGGGCCGCCACGGCGGGGCATGTCTGGCGGGGCGGCCCGGGGGGCTCGGGGCGAGGCGGGCGGCCCCCGGCGCGACCCCCGGCCCTGCCCGGGGCGGCCGCCGCGCTCCGGCCCCTCGGCCCCGCGGGGCTCCGCGGCCGGGAGGGGACGCGGCGGCGCCGGGCTCGGGGCGCTGCTCCTCGTTACCCGCCCTCGGTAATCCTCAGCCGGGGGGGCCCCGCTCCGCTGCGCGCACGGGCGGGCGCGGCCCCCTTTCCCCGGGGCCGGGGGGAGCAGCGGCGGCGGAGGAGGAGCAGCGGCGGCGGGGGGGCCCGGGGCCGCCCTTCCGCGTCCAGGTGCGGCCCCCCCCGGGCGGGGGCGGCGCGGAGGGCGGCGGGTCCGTGCGGGACGCGGGGCGGGCGGGGGTCCCGGTGCCGGCCCCGTGAGGCGGCGGCGGGCGGGGGGCGCTGTGTCCCCTCCCCGCCCCGCCCGGCCGCCCCTCGCTGCTGCCGCCGCTGGCTGTGCGCGGACGGTGCTTTCCTCCTCCTGCTGCTGGTGGTGGTGGTGGTGGTCCCGCTCGCGCTGCGGCGGGCGCGGTGCGAGGGTGCGGGAGCGGGCGGGCCGAGCCCCGCTGAGCCCCGCGCGGTGCCGGCCGTGCCGCGGCGGCCGCAGCCCCGCGCCCGCTCTGCCTCCTGCGCTCTGACAGCAATGGCGCCCGGGCCCGCACCGCGCCGCGCCATTGGCCCGGCGCGGACACGTGACGCGGGCGGCGGGGGCGGGGCCACGGCCGAGGGGCAGCGACCTGCGCTGCGCCCGCCCGGCCGCGGGGGGCGCTCGAGAGCGGGACGGGGCGGGGGGAGCCCGTGGAGCGGGACGGGAGGGGATGGGATGGGATGGGATGGGGATGGGATGGGACGGGACGGGACGGGGGTCCGTGTGCCGGCCCGAAACGGGAGGGGAGGGGATGGGAGTCCCGCGTGCCGCCCCTGGAATGGGAGGGAAGGGGATGGGGGTCCCGTGTGCCGCCCCTGGAATGGGAGGGAAGGGGATGGGGGTCCCGTGTGCCGCCCCTGGAATGGGAGGGAAGGGGATGGGGGTCCCGTGTGCCGCCCCTGGAATGGGAGGGATGAGGGAGGGCATGGGGTCCCGTATCCCGCCGCTGGAACGAGAGGGGAGCGGGGAGGGGAGAGAGGATCCCTTGTCCCCTCTCCCGCCGCTGGAACGGGAGGGATGAGAGAGGCGAGAGGAGTTCCCCTGTCCCGTGTCCCCTGACCCGCCTCTGGAACGGGACGGGATGAGGGAGGGGATGGGGATCCTGTGTGCCGCCCCGGGAACGGGAGGGGTATGCGAAGAGGGAGTGACAGGGAGGGGGTCCCCTGTCCCGCCTCTGGAACGGGGAGAGGATCGGGGGTCCCCTGTCCCACCTCTTGGCATGGGGAGGGGAACGGGGATCCCCTGTCCCTTGTCCCCTGTCCCGACCCTGGAACGGGAGGGGATGTGGGAAGGGAGCGGGGGTCGCTTGTCCCGTATCCTCTGTCCCGCCCCTGGAACGGGGAGGAGGCTGCGAACAGGGGGCTGAGGGTCCCGTGTCTCGCCCCTTGGCGTGGGGGAAACGGTGAGGGGGCTGCGGGGAGGGGATCCCGTGTCCCCTGTCCCGCCCCTCGGCACGGCGGTGAAGCTGCGAGGAGGGGATTGGGGGTCCCCGCGTCCTACCCCTCGGCACGGGGGGCACGGGGAGCTTGTCCCTCCCGCCCCGTCCCGGCACGGGATCTCTGCTCCCTGTGCCAGCAGAGACAGGACCCGGGGAACGGCTGGAGCTGTGTCAGGGCAGGGTCAGGTTGGATCTCAGGCAAAGGTTCTTCCCCCAAAGGGTGGTTGGCACTGACCAGGCCCCCCAGGGCAGTGGGCACAGCCCCAAGGCTGCCAGAGCTAAAAGTGTTTGGACAACGCTCTCAGGGGCAGGGTGTGATTGTTGGGGTGTCTGGGCAGGGCCAGGGGTTGGACTGGACGATCCTGTGGGTCCCTTCCAGCTCAGGATATTCTGGGATTCTGTGGCACGGGGACAAACGTTCCCGGTGGGGGTGCGGCAGCCCCGGGGCTCCCCCAGCCCGCTCCCGGCGGGACACGGGGGGAACAGAAGTCGCTCGGGGCCGACCCTGACCCCGGTCCCGGCGGGTCCCCCCCAGCACCTGCGAGTGCTCAAAGTAGTTTAAAACCCGTCTCAAAACTTGGTCATGGCCACAGCCGATTCAGGGCACCCCCGAGCTGCCCTTCCGAGCCGAGTTTAACCCGGAGCTGCCCCGCGCTCACCCGGAACGGCTGTACAGGCTTTGGGTGTTGTTATTCCTTTATAAAAAGGAACTCGAAAATACCTGAGTTAAATAAATAAATAAATGAAATTCATTCCTGATAGTCACAGAAGGATGGCTATACGTAAAATAAACAATAAATACTTTGTTTAAAATAGAAAATTCATCACAAATAGTTTTTTCACTGTTCGTAATGACCCTTTGATTTGAACCAGCAGGAGCAGATTAAAGCTCACCTGCCTGAGCTTCTCCCTGACACGAGAGTTCCACAGGTGTAGAAAGCAAATATTGCTGCTTAAAAGATGAAGATATTTAAGCAATTCATCTTGAGCTTTAATACAGAAAAGTAGCAGCACGTTTTCAATGATCTGATTCAGCGGAAAAAGTTCTCACTCTGTGCTCAGTGGCAGCTTTCCTTATCGTGATTTTAATCTCATTTAGGCGTCTTTTTTTGCAATTTACTTGTCTTGGCGATAAATTAAGATTAGCATCTATTGTAAAGGCTGAATGGAGTTAGTTTGGACTTACCTCAGGGTCACAAATCTCTCACACAAACAGGCGCTTACCCAAATTACGTACATGGAGCGAGAGAGAAAGAGAATTTAGGCCAAAAGATTTCCAGCCAGAGCAGTGTTCTTACCATGAGTGTCCTTCCTCTGACAAATCCAACCTGTCAGCCATCCCAACCCCTCACTGCTACACCGACCAGGAATTCTGTCCCACAAGGACTGGGCCTGCACTGAGAGGAGCAGGGTTTCCAAACACAAATTACCCACGTTCCGTTACCGTCGCGAGTTACTCGGTCAAAGTGAAATCCCTTGTTACATCCTGGCACTGGGAATCGGGGAAGCACTTTGGGCTACATTACTCCCCTTCCTTTTGGCACCGCTCTTGTAAACAGAGAACACAATCTGACACTTGTAAATATGTCAAGCAGCGTGTATTAACCAACCCCAAACCACATCCTTCCGCGTTAAAATAGTGCAGCTCTTTGTAACTCCACTGCAGCCCCGGCCCCCCTGGCCCATCTCTGCACGGGGCCCAGGGCACAGCCAACCCTTTGATGGAGGGGCCATTCTATTTCTGGAATAAAAGAACATCCCTTACCAGGAAAGAAATTATTTTCTTATTATAGAAGCGTTTCAGGATTGAGAATCACAGTGTTACTTACCCAGGGAAATGCTGTGCATGATTAGACACCGCAGAATTCCTGATTTCTCCACGTGCTGCTCACCCTCCAAATGGTGTTTCCAGTCAGCACAATTCCTCTTCTGGACCTTCCAAGTAGAGATGAGTTATTCTGCTTGATTTTCTCGGGAAAATGTGGGTCCTAACACAGGATTCAGATTCGTTTTCAGGAGGAGAAATGTTAATATACCCACACTGTGCTGCTTAGGCCATTTTTCTGTAGTCTTATGAATGTTAACTGCTTTGTAAACTAAAAATTATAGAATCATGGAATGGTTTGGGTTGGAAGGGGCAGTAAAGCTCATCCAGTCTCAACCCCTGGCATGGGCAGGGACACCTCCCACTAGCCCAGGTTGCTCCAATCCCCATCCAACCTGGCCTTGGACACTTCCAGGGATCCAGGGGCAGCCACAGCTTCTCTGGGCAACCTGTGCCAGGGCCTCCCCACCCTCCCCATAAACAATTTCCTCCTACCATCTAATCTCAATCTCCTCTCTTTTAACTTAAAAATCATTTACTATAACTAAATTCCCTGTATTGTGTCAATGGTCTGAAGTTCAATAGTTGTTGCCTGCATTTTGGGAATGCTGCTGGTCACACAATTTGACCACATCCCTGCACTGCCAGTTCCATTTTGGTTTTAAACTGAAAAAAGATAACATCTCTTTAAGCACTTTGCCAGGTGCTTGACTTGATATTACATCCAGTTATCACAGGCAAGGGAAATCATCACAGTCTAATCCTTCACTTCCCAGGACCAAACTGGGAAAGTTCCCTTGCTGTCTTCTGACAGCTGTGCTGCTTCAAGCAGAAATTGTTCCCCTTACAGATATCACACAGGAGTGACACTTCCTCGTGCACAATTATCCAAGGTGGTATGTGGAGGAACGTGTTTCCCAGCTCAGGGCATTCGAGTTTTACTCCCTGTTTTCTTCTCCTCCTTTTCAAAAATCAATCAGTGACCATGAACAGCAACATTGGGGTTTCAACTTTAGCAAAATAACAATTTTTGCACCGTGGGAAGATCCGGGAATGTCTTCACTAATCCTGTCACTGTGTTAATTTGCAGCTCCACAGCTCGGCCACAGAAAGGAGTCCCCAGGCCCCTGGAAATCAGCTGGGTCCCACCCCACCCTCACCACACAGAGCAGGGAAGGAGCCCTGACAAAATTAGCCCAAATAGGGATAGCCCAGCTTATTTAACTCCGGGACAACTCACCCAGAGCTCCCAGTGATGACCAAACCTGTTCTTCCAGGAGGATGGCTCAGCAGGCTTTGTTTCCACCAGCAGGTGCTGCTTATGCTTCGAACTGAACGTGGGGGAAGAGCCAGAGGCACCAGGAGGGCACAGCAGAGCTGCAGCGGGGCTTTATTTGCTCCATTTTGCCCCAAAGCACGAGCGCTTTGCTGCACATCCAAGTTTTTCCTGGAGGAACACGAGATCCAAACAGGGCTCTCCCGATCCTGAGCGTGGAGAGTTGGGCCCTTCTCGCACCGGGAGCAGAACTGGAGCTCAGCCAGGTTCTGTCAGAGTCAAAAAGCAGCAGTGTTTGACATTCCATGTCTAAGGCAACCCGTTCCTGGGGAAAACACGCTTTTCCATGCCTTTGAGTTACACATTCTGGTTACTCACTAGCACAAATTCCAGCTGTTGCAGTAGAAATAATTATTGTCTTGTGTCTAAGTGTCATTTCTACTGTTTTCTCTATTTCCAGTTGCCTGCAACACCCAGAAATGGAAAGGACAGGATGGGGAGAGTATGAAACCCAAACTAGGAATATAAAGCAAGAAAATGGTCTCTAACTCTTCTACAGATTGAAAAGCAAAAAATAAAATAATTTTGTTTCCCTCCTGCTCTCGGGTTGCTCTTAAATTCTATTCAAGTGAGCAAGTTCATTGGCAATTATTAAAACTCAAAGAATTTTAGTGCTTGGATCACAATTTATGTAGTTTTTTTATGATGCAAAGCCTCATTTCAGGTATGTTCCCACTGGCCTCACTGTCCACTTTTTATGAGATTACACTAATTTTTAAGTGTTTTTTAATTAATCCAGTACTTTCTTTTTTTTTTTCTAAGTATTTATAAATAAGAACTCTAAATTATCTTGGTTTTAAACCAAAAACTTTTACTTCCACAAACTGAAGACCTAAGAGGAAAAAAAAACACCAAAACAACTACACTAGTTTACTGGCTTAATTAACAACATCTAATTTTAACATAAAAATAGTAAAAAAATTTCACACATCAAACCCATACTCAATAGCTCTTTTTTTAAAACACTGATAATCTCCAGATTGCCTGTAAACCAACATTTTAATTTTAATTTTATTAAGGCACAGGAGTGGCTGCATTAGCAGGTTTATTTTTTCCTAGTAAAGATAAAAAATCATTTGAGTTTTCGAACAATATATTGATTTTCTGAAGGGATGGCAATTCAAAGAGGAAACTAAACACCTCAGTAAAGGGTTTGTTTGTAGAGCAGTTTGTCCACATAGTTCAAGCCCTGCCAGGGATCAGAGTGTGGGGTGTGGATCAGCCATCCCTGCTCCCATGATTCTCCATAAATATCCAGGGTGAATCCACATGGTCTGTTTGCAGCCATCTCTACTGTGGGAGTAGCTGTAGAAACCAAGGATGTTTTAAATATTATAATAATAATAACTTAATAAATAATAATACAGAGTACTCAGTGCACAAAGGCAGGTCAAAGCCAGCCCGTGTGACCCCAAACCTCAGAGATTTCCCAGTGTTCCCAGTGGGCAGGGATGTTGTCCTGGGACAGTCTGCTGGGATCTCCTTTTCCAGGATGAAGGAAAGCCATGGCCAGCAGTGGTTGTGCTGCAGGGGGTTCCCAAAGGCCTGCCACAAATAAATACCTCCAGTCACCTCAGTGATGTTGATGATTTACATGGAAACACTTCCCACGGGGCACAGCTGCTCGGGATTGGGATTGGGATTGGGATTGGGATTGGGGGGCTCAGGAAAGCACACCCAGGGCACAGGCCAACGTTTCCACCCCCCTCCTGAGGGTTACACACAGGGAAGTCCCTGAAAATGACATTATTTGCTTGAATACTGTACTAAGAGTCCCTATAAAGGAGCAGTTTGAGGGAAGATTAATGACCTGGAAAGCCAATTTGGGGGAAGTTTTTCCACCTACAAGATAATGTTGAAAGGAATCTGCAAACTGCTGCAGAGGACTCGGATTAACCCAGGGTCATGTCATTAGGAAAGGGAAAAGTGGAGTTAACTGTGGAGTCACAACGACAAGGAGACTTTTAAGCTGACTCTGGTGGAGCAAATGTGCTCCTGTATTCTTATCAAAAACCAGACAAATTATCTTGTTCTCTGGATTGTAAAAGATAGAAGGGAGGCAGGAAAGAAAGCAGTGGCAGGGAAGAGGAGATAGGCAATGTTTAAATGTCTAGGAAGAGAAAAGATCGTCTCTCACTGTTCTGGGTGGAGGAGCAGGAGCTGAGTGAGTGGTGAGGAGTGGGATGGACAGAGGGATGAACAGGGAGAGAAAAGAAGGAGCCAAATGTGCCCAACTTGTTACAAAGAGCAATCCCAGGGTGCCTTTGCTAGTGATGGAAGTGTGAGGGAGCCAGGAAAAAAGACTGGCAAAACTGGGCTGTGTGAAGTTTAAATTGCCAGCAAGGAATTGGAGAAAAGGCAAGGAACATCTCTGGAAACGTGGCTTTGGATGGAAGGAGCGGAGGAAACAGCTCAGGAGCAGAGTAGATTGGTTCCTTCCCTCCACCACGGTGATATTTAGATGACATTTCAGGTATAACTGGCAGGGACGAGGCAAGGAGCAAAATGCAAACTGTTACTTTAAAGCATATGCAATGCTAAAAAATAGAAGTTGTTGAAAACAGTGATAAGATTAAAAACTGGAGCTGCAGGCAGTCCCACGTACGACGACCCATTTGACTGTCAAATCACCATCCTTGTGAACAAGTTTTCACTTGTTTTGTTTGGGTGTTTTTAAGGAAAGAATGAGAATGGTCTGGGTGTCACAGAGGCCTTTGGGAACTTCAGTGCAAGGGGGATGAGTCTCAGTAGAGAGAACTGGCCAGAAAGGGCCTGCAAGGAAGGCAGAGGAAGGGAGTTGTGAGTGGAAACGAGGAGCAGTTTTGTGCCCCAGCTCGTCCTTTGGTGTCTGAGAGACACCACTGCAAACTCACATCTCAGTGTTCTGCAGAACCGAAGCAAATGAGCTGCCTGGAAAAACAGAAAGAAGCAAATGACAAGTGAAACTACTCAGGAATAAAAGGGGAGCGTGGTGTAGGCAGAGCAAAATGGCAAATACTTTTTTAATTGTAAATCATTTTTGCGCTCAAAGGAGGAAAGGGTTGTGATGTTGGCGAGATACCCCGAATTACGAATAAACATACCTGAGTTTCTGAAGGATTTAATAATCTCACATGAAGCTCCCACCAGCCCTCCAGGCAGGGGATGGGCCTGTTGGGTCATGGTTTCATACCATCAAAGGGAGAGATTTCATCTTTCAGATGTTGTTGTGCTCGCTTGGTAAGAATTCAGCTTATTAAAAGGTGTTAACTAAGATGCGGGATAAAAATACTACAGGAGGAGAAAAAAAAAATAAAATGAAAAGATTTCAGGGTAAAAGGCAAAGCAAATATGGAAATAACATTTGGTGAAGACATTCTGAGAACGAAACTCCAAGTTTACTTGTTGGAATGGATTGCAGGGTAGCTCTGGATGGGTGATGCAGCTTGGAATGAGCCAGTCAGGCAACATGTGGAATGTGCAGCTTTTGGCACGGGAGCTCAAATATTCAAATTGGCCCATAAATCCCAGTACAGTTTTCAGTGTTTAAGAATCTTATTTTATCTGGATTAAAATCCTCTTCCCCCTTGGCACTGGGAGGTGTTTATAGCTGCAAAAACAAGAATTGCAAAATATTGCCCTGAAATCTATAAGGACTTCTCCTGCCAAACTTACAAGGTTTACTCTGCAGCTAAAAATTAAAACATAAAAAAAACCCCAAAAACCTGCCAGGGACAGTATGGCCTTTGTAGACAAAGTGCAGGAAAAGAAAAGGAAAATGAAGTAGATAATTCCAAATATTTTTTTTTTGGTAATTTTAAAAATCATTTTATTTTCCCATGGCAGGAAAAGATAAGGTAAAGTTTTTCTTTTAAGTCCTAAGAAATCTTCAGGATTTTTTTTAAAAATCATGCTCGAGTGCTGTACCAAAAAAAAAAGATGAATAAAAGCCACAGCTCAGGTGTGTGATCACTGACCACATCAGAGCCTGGACTAACACAGCTCTTTACCTTCTGTTACCTTCCAACTCTCCCTCCTTCAGATATTCACAGGTGGAAACAGCTCCCACTGTTTGAAAAGTGGGGACAAATCCTTCTAGACAACAGCTCTGGGACTTCAGGCCTTTAGCAAGCACTGTGCAGGTTCTCTGCAAGGGATAATTTTAATATTTCGTGGCACACCCCCCACCATTCACCTTCAGGTCCTTACAGACACCACTGAACTTGAACTGACCGATTTTCCTCCCCGGATTTACTCTTCTTGCCATGAAAAGCAGATCCTATTGTTGTGCCCCCACATTTTGTCCCTCGAGTTGTGTTGTAAAGGGACGTGAGAACAGGACACTGAGCAGGTCCTGGATCTGCTGCACCCTGAACTGCACCAGCATTCATGGGATGCACAGCAAAGAGTCCCAGGCAGACGCCACTGCCTTGGACTTCACCATTTAAAGAGGGATTGAGGTTCACACTCATTCCCTTAAAAATACCTCCCCTGAAGACCAAAGGAGCTGCCCAGCCTCAGGTGTGCTGGCCAGAGGGCAGAGGTGATGCCTGTGCCTTCCCCCCACATTTCCAGAGGTGGAATAATTACTATATTATTCCCAGTTTATGCCTGTTCCTGCTTCTGTCCTTGCCTCCCCCCGCCCCGCTCTGAACTGGGGTCGTGGAGGCTCATCAGTAACAACGGGATTGAATAAGAAATGTCCTGATTTACATTCTGTTTCCACTCTGACCTCATTAAGGCCCTTTTGTTGTGGAACCTCGGAATCAGGACTCCCCTTCGGCCACAGAGCTGTCAGGTTCACTCACAGCTCAGCTCTGAGAGCTGGAAATCAAAGCAGAGCCTCGGCCAGGGCTCAGCTCTGCCTTCAGAACATCCAGGAACCGGGTTCTGGGGCAAACAAAACACACAAAAGGCGAAGCTCGCCCTGGTAAAGGTCCAACCATTAAAATAATTCACTGGAGATCTTTGATGTTCGTTTCCCTCAGCTGTGAGCGCTCAGTGATCCATCAACCGCAGATAAATGTTGTGCTGAAAGCTCTCCCTGAAAATTAGGAGAAGGAATAAAGGAATTAGAGACATAAGACTTCCATGGATGCCCTGTGTTGACATCCCTGTTTCCAAGCCCCATTTAATGAAACAACCCCCTTTTCTCAGATTTTAAGGTTTCACAAGCCCTAATTTAAAGTGGAATTAACAGAGCGAATCCTATTTTGCCAGCACTCCTTCTCCCAAAAATTTAAAATATTTGCCTTATAAGAAATTATACTCACATATAATAAAATATTTCAGCTGCTTTTAATTTAATCAACTGCTTTGTTGATCACCCAAGGAACTGGCCATGCCTTGAAATGTTTGTTTAAAGGGAACCTATCTTTCAGCTCAGAGATATCTGCTCAGCCTTCTGTTCCCCTGCAGCCCAGTGAATGTTGCTTTTTGGGATTTTTCTGACACTCATTTCAGGAAGAAGCTGAAATGCTTGTCTTTGCTTGACACACGAAGAAAGGAATTACACAGGGATATTTATTTTTTTCCCCTGTGGAGCCTGAAGCCTCTTGGCCTCGTCTGAGACACAAAATGCCCACACACCAACTCAGCCGAGGGGTTTTGCTGAGAATCTTTGGGCTTTTATGCAGAAGAAAAATTAAAATTAAAAGCAAGATGGAAAGAGTAACACTGACCTGGCCACAGGGTGTCCCTGCCTCCCACCTGGTCCAAGAGGGGATAATCCCATATTTCCTGAAGTCACAGGTGATCCTGCTCCAGTCCAACCAAGGGTGACCTTCAGTTTTCTGGCACCTGGACCTAAAATGGGCAAAGACCAATTTATGCTGAGTTAAACAAACCCTTCCCCTCATATCAGGAAACAGGCAGTGTTTCATTTTAAAATGGCTTATTGTTGATTTGGGGCTCGATGGACACAAACTTACTCTGAAATGGGGTTGTTTTTTTCAGTTAGAGGAAAAGTGAGCGCTGCTGACAGAGAATCTTTTTTAAATGATTGACAAAGCTACAAGTCCCAGCACTTTATATTCTGTTCTGGAACTTCAGGATAATACAGTATTTTGACAAAACACAGTTGGTGTTCCAAATCGGTATTTGGAATACGTTTGTGTAAAATCTAAACTAAAATCATAGATGTAAAGTTTGAGTAAAACCAGAAACTCGGGAGCAGTAACTCTACTGAACCTCTAGTTTGGTCTCAATATCAAGCCAGTGTGGTGAATGCAGGCAAAGCATTGATTTGTTGTTGGTTTTTATGTTGTAAATACACAAAATAGTTACTAAGATTCGGCTGGATCAGACCTCTGAGCTGCAGGATGGGCACATTCCCATTCTGTTGGAGTTCTTTGGGACTGGAGGGTCACACCCACACCCCCCTGTGGTACCTCCAGAGAGGACCCTCCTCATCTGCAACACTCCAGCCCCAGAAGCTGCAGCTCACGGGCTCAGCCAGGAGGTTTTACTTTAATATATTTATAGGGCTCTTTAATACCTCAAGAGAGCACCAAGAGGATAACCCACGGGCTTGTTCCCAAGGGGTTTCTTGATTAATTTAGGGGAGAAAATAAGGGAACTTGGCCAAAGTTCAAAAAGGGCACTGCACAGCCTGGACAAAATGTTCCACTACGATACCAGCTGAGCACATGTTAACCCACAACACTTGGGATCCAATCTGTCCACAACACTCAAGTCAAAATCCAACCCTTCCAGCTCCAAGCCACCCAAAGCATCCAGAAAGGAGCAGAGAAAGAGAAGCAGAGAGAAGAGAGAAGGAGGAATAAGGAAAGACAGATGACAGAGCTACCACTGGAACTTGTAGAAGACCAGCTCTCACATGTCCACACACACCCCCCCAAGGTGGTTCTGACCCCACAATCACTGATCTGGTGTCTGACACCACCCCATCTCCCAGTGTGCAACGCTGCAACCACGTGTGGGAACACTGAAAACTTGAAAGGTATCAAAACTGAATAAAGGATTCGGGAGGATGGGAGCTGGGGATCATTTCTAGCACCACCCTCAGCTCACCCTGTGGTTTTAGGCAAGTCCTCTGGACGCCTGTCTGTGACACAGGTCAAATATTTCGGGCGCTGCTCACAGATGTCAAGTGAAGGATTACAGTGTTAGCACAACAAGGAACTCCAGAGTACTATTTTTGAAGTAACGACACCATTTATGAGCCCAAATCCAATTTTTAACTGTGGAGCTGATCTGCACCTTTGTTTCAGACACTGTGTCACAGAGTCACACTCACTTCTGTCACAAGCTGCTCCTTGAGGTCACATTCTCTCCTCACACATGCTGGGCTGTTCTCGGCCTCCAGCCTGGGATTAAGCAGCTCATTTTCCACCAAGGAGAGTCTGGAACAAGGTGGGAGTCAATGCTCCAGTCGTGCCTCTTGGGCAATGAGGGTTCACCCCACTGGAGGTGGTGGCCTGGGAGGACTCAGAGGGCATCCAGGAGGCACCAAAGCCAGTGGTGTTCCTTTAAATCCAGTTTTCAACTGCAATGTGAGCCGTGGAGCTTTGACCTGTACTCAAAATTCACACTGAAACAGCTGGACAATCACTTTGCTAGATGTGTTCCCTGTCATGGAGTGTACCTCTGTTTGTTTGGGGTTGATAACTCAAAAAACCCCCAGAGATATTTTCTATAATATGGAATGAGATGTTGCACTTTACTTAAAGAGAACCCACTTTTAATGAAGCAAAAATTTCATATTCTACCTAAACAAAGGAGCACAGCCCAAGCCAAAAGGGTATTTGTGCATCACACCCAGGGCTTGGCCGAGCCCTTTCCCTGTGAGCAGCACAGGGCACTTACCTGGGCAGTGCAGAAATGACTCCCCCTCGGTGCTGGACTGCTCCTGTCTCCTGTAATTACTTCTCCTCAGGGATCTCTGCCAATCTCTTCCCAGTGGACATATGGGCTCAGCAGGCAGGGACAGGCCCAAAGTGCTTTTCTTGCCCTGACGTCAGTGGGGGGAAGGATGACTGAATTCAGCTCCCAGGAAAATCAAACATTACCTGACTCCTGCCCCTTTCTCGGGACTGTAGTGTGGCCCAGTTATTCCTACAGCTTCTTGAGGGATCTTCAGGCTTTTGCTCTCAAATAAAAGTGTCTTTACACTTAATTAGAAGATAATGCCAGCCAGCTTCTGCTAATTATTTGTATTTTTGCTTAACACTTATAAATCTCGGTGTTCAGGTATTATTACAAGCTAATATTTGTCTTGTAACACACATTAGTCATTACAATTAGCAAGTAGAAATAGATTAGTCATGCGCAAACAATCTCATAAATGAAGTATTTATGCCCCCTTTGGGGATGGAAAGGAAGGTAATTTGAGCCCTTTATGATTATCAAGGGAAACCTGCCTTGTCTCTTCTATTCACGTGGCTGTTTCAGGATTTCTTTCTGGGCAAACTCCCTGGCTGGGGGCTCCTTTAAAGCCCAGCAGCACCACCAGAAGCTGTGGCAGGGCTTTGCTGAGCACCATCAGGTGTCACCCCTCCTGAGCTGCTGGTCTGCACTGCTCAGAGCAGTGTCACTCCTTCCCTCCCCAAACCTCTATAATCCATATTTCTGCTTCTCCCTGTGGCTGGAGGAAAAGCTCCCTTTCACAGCCCTGAGTGGGGATGTTTTCTTTGAGCAGTGAACACTTTTATCCACAGATTTAGAGCTCCCTAAAGCCTAAATCTCACCCCTCCCTGTGAAAGAGAGGCTGAAGGTCCCAGGATGGGACTGGACTGAGGAGTGGGATGTCACCCTGCCTGCTGGGAATGTGGCACCCCTGGCATGGAGCACATCAGGGAGCTCCCTGCTCAAAGCCACTCCAAGCCATGACCGTGAACTTCCAGATGTACCTTCCAAGGAAAAGGTTATTGCTTTTTAGTCCATTTTTCCAGAGGTTTTTCTTTGTCAATTCTACATAAAATATCACCCTGGGTTTTGGTTTTTGGGGTTTTTTTTTTTCAAATTTGATGAGCCACTCAAAAAACCTCACTCTTTGTGTGTGTGTGTGTGTATAAAATCTCCTAGAAAGTCACTTCAAAAATAACCAGAATAAACCATTTTAAAATGAAAACCCTCAGTCATTTCACATCAGTAAATTTAAATTTAACACCTGCATTAGTGCAACGTTTCTGCACTGGTGACCTGCACTGTCCCTGTCTGTAACACCCCATTCCCACCCAGGCCTTCCTTTCTGTCTTTACTCTCTTTCATTTAATCTAAATTTGACTTAATTTAATCTAATATTTCCCTGGAAAAATCAAGCAACTCACAGCTCTCCCTCAAGGAAACGTTTTCCCCGGCTACAGGAGCTGCCAAGCTTCCCGGAGGAAGGTGGGAAGGAGGGAATATTTGTTGCTATGTTTAGCACCATTACAGAAATAGGTCACATATTGTTTCTGAGAGAAATGGATCACCAGCACACAGGCCCCCACAACTCATCCTGGGCTCCCTCCACCCCCGTACACAGTGCTTGAAGCATTCCAGCATCCCTGCCAAATTCCCTCACAAATACTTTAATTCTTTACGTGCTTGTCTCGTTCCATCTGTTCCACATGCTCTTTATGCCATTTGCATTCACTGGCAGAGTCTGCGAGATGACACCACACGGTATGAATCTGAGGAGGTTTGGGGATGGCAGGAGGGGAATGTGGAGCAGCTCAAGGTTTGGGGTTTGCTCCTCCAGCCCAGGGAAAACCGGTGTGAGGGTCCCAAGGTTCTCCCATCAGAGCAGCCACGCTGTGCCTTCAGGCTCAGGAGGAAGAAAAGACTGTCCCTCACAGCATCTTGTGTAGGAGCTTGTGTGCCCAAACAAACAACAAAGACAAGGGAAATGTGATGGAAAGGAGGAGTAAAGGAAAGCAGCACTCGATGGGAAAGTGGTGCTCAGGGTGTGCAGTGGAACTGCCCGTGAAGCAAATGCTGATCCCTCAGCACAGGAACACTGCACAACCCGGGCTGGTTTTGGGGTTTGGCAGTGTGGTCACCCCAGCCCACAGCCAGCTGGAAGTCTGGAATACACACAGGGGTCACGGCAAACGTCTGTTGGACACGGATCTGAGGATAAGAATAAGGAAAAACCCCCACCTGGTCAGGGACATTGGCCCAAGCCGAGCCCAGACGAGCTGTGTGTGCTGGGTCACAGCCTCCAGCTCCTTGAACAAATTCTGTGAGAGCCTCAGGCCAGGAAAACTGAATTTTGCTCCAAGGGCTGGACACCAAACCTTTTCCTCCCCCTCCATAACAGGACCTCAGATAAAAGAAACTGCACTTCAAGGGCATGGATGAATCCAACAGCCATTCAGCTAAAAAGCACCAAAAAATACATCCATTTCTCAGGCCATGATGCAATACAATTACTCTGCTACTATTAGTAAGATGTGAAAATACCTGTTAGATTTCATCAGAGGTCAGTCAACAGTTCCAACCTTCCCTTTTCCCAAAGTGAGACGACTCAGCCTGCTTACCTGGCAAGATGGATTTCTCAATCTTTCCCTCTCCATTTTTCCACATTCCTTTCCTCATCCCATTTTTCCTGCTTAGCTTGTGTGCTGCAGCCATACCCTGTTATCTCCTACCCCATCTCTCCCTTTCCTCCCTGCCTGTTATTACCACGTTGTCTTTAATGTTTCCCCGCTCCCCTTTGTTGCCAGGCTCCAGTTTTCGTGTTTGATTCATACAGTTCATTGTTTCTGCTGCAAAGGGATCATCATCTAAAATAACCTGCATGTGCTGGGGCAAAAGCAGGGAAGGGAAGCCTGACATTCCCTGCTCACTCTCAGTTTGAAGCCTGCCTTGGAGGGGAAGGGAGTTGGGATACTCTTTGCAGCGTGGCATTGGATTTTTGATCCAGAAGGAAAAATAAGAGCTAGATCCTCAGTTATCCAAATACTCTGTCCTTTATACTTGTGCCAAGTCAACCTGGAATAATATGGCCTGGATTCCTGATCACTTCATATCTTTCAGCAAAAAGGTGAGAAAAATCAAGAGCTGGAGGTGATGGCGTGGACTCACCATGGTGTGGCTGAACCTGAGAGCTGCCAGAGGGGTTAATCTGGCAGGGGAAGAGCTGAGGGACAGATTTGCAGAGGAGTGAGGCTGCTGCAACCCCTGCCCCAGGGAAGGCCCTGCTCTCCCAGGACAGGGTTGGCTCATGTGCTCAGGGAGAGTTTTGTGTCCTCAGCAGATGCTCACAGGAGACAAAGTGTCCCCTCCCAGCCCAGTGGGACCCCTGAAGGGGGTGTGTGTGTGTGAAATCTCTTCCTTCAGCAAGGTTTAACCCTCCTGGTGCTCAGGAACAACGTGCTGACCCCCCCGGCCACCTCTGCTCCCCTCTGACACAACTGGATCCCACAGATCCCCAGCCCAGGACATTCTCCTCCAGTTTAGGTACCCAAGGGCCATCCTGTTAGAAAATGTTCCCTTTGGATGCTGGGGTGATGTCCCTTATTACTGCAGGAGCAGGGACGTGGAGACAGCTCCCCAAGGAGGTTCAAACCCGCATCTCCCATGGAAATGACCCAAGAACTAAATTACAGGGTGCCTGTTCCGGGCTGGGTGTTCCCCACCCTCGCTTTGATGATAGTCCAGCGAGAGCAGAGTGAGAGATGCACTGGGCAAAAGAGAAGGAGAATTATTAAAGCCTAATGATTAAGGCACAGACTTATTTTGCCTTGTTTTACCACCTACTGCTTTCCCTAATGACACGAGAGGCTCTGTGCAAAAGCGTCCCTTTGATCCACAGAACCACTGAAACTCCAGGGAATCGGCTCAGCTCAGGAATTTCCCTCACCTACGAGGTGCTACAGTTTTGTGCTACAATTGCAAGGTAATTTCCCTTCTAACCTCGTTATTCCACCTTTTAGATTTTCTTCCTTTTTTTTTGGGGGGGGGTCTATTGTCTTTGCTAATTACAGCTTTAGCTTTACCTCTGAACGCTTCACCCTCAGCGTGTGCTGCTTGCAGAACGGTGGGGAGGCAGAAATCCCATTGTCAGGGGACCCCTGGAGGGAAGAAAACCAGGAGGATGGGATACAATAAATGACCAGTAAAACCACCCAGGTAGGTATTTCCTACTGGCTCCATTTCACCAAATTCAAGCGATTCTCCATTGCAAGTGATTTCCTTATTTTACATTTTGCCTTCTTTCCAGACAGGTTTGAAATTTTCAATCACAGAGCCATGTGTTTTACACAGTATATATATATATATATTTTATGGTTTCTTGTGTATTTTTGTGACCTTATATTTGGGAGTCAGCACCACTTGGGAGTGACAGCTATGAGAAATATTTCCTGTTCTCCGTCGAGGTTGCCAAGCACACACACAGGAAGGCAGGTGGAAAAAAAGCTCCCAATACAAATGTGCCCACAAAAGCAGTTGTGTGTCCTTTGCAAAATAATTAAAAAATACTTTAAAAATAAGTATGGAATAAAATCTCTACCCAAACAGCTCACAGGTGGAATTCCATGAGCAAGGACACTGGAAACGGCAAGAGGAATTATCTTCATCAGTTTAGGGTGGAGTTCAGAGTCTTCTGTGTTTTAGGGATAAAAAGATGTTCTAATGGGAAGGGGGGAACTGGTCAAGTGCAGAGTAAGCAGAGGAGAAACAAGAGTGGCCAGTTAAGACATGAACTTTCCAGCCCTTGGAAAACACAGTGTGTATTCACATCAAGCACCAGGCACACGGTGCAGTGAATAAAATAGTTCAGAGTTGTAATCCCAGCGGGACCTGGGCCAGAGGGTGAAGGGAAGGGAACACACTGGAGCTGTGATTCAGGATGTCCTGGAATCCTTCCTGACCCGCTGGGTCGGAATTTCTGACTCGACACCCTGCCTTGCCTCTGAGTAGGAAACTGGATCCTGACTGCAGGATTCTTTTTATAGAGCAAACTTCGGTGCCAACTGCCTTCGGAGCACAGGCTTGTCCCTCCCAGTCTTCAGGCAGCACACCAATCCCGGGCCAGGAGAGCCAGGAAACGTGATCCCTGTGCCCCAAACACGGCCCAGCTCTGGCCAGAGAGCAAACAGGAGCCCAAAGCTTGGCCTAATTCCCCAGCCCAGCAAACACAGGGGGCACTGAAGGGTCTCAAAGCCACCGGCTCATCCTCGTCCTCCTCCTCCTCCTGCTGTAAACTTGGCCAGCACCAAAGGACATGGCCTGGCCCAAGGAATGCTGGCCAGGGTTGGGGGCTCATCAGGGATTTCCCATGGAATGACAGGCAGGGGGTGGGAAATCACCCACTGGGGCACCCCTGGATGACAAGGATTTCCACCCCATTTCTTCCCCAGCCTGTCCTGGGGGATCAGACAAGGCCCCTCCGAGCTGGTTTGGGGCACTGGGACTGATAACTCTGCCCACAGCCTGAGATGTGTCCTGGCTTTGGTGTTGGTTACACCTTAGGAAGGGAAGGATTTGAAATCACCGTGCTCCCTTTTGTGTCATTTTATAATTGAAAAGCATAATTTTGTATTATTTTATAATTGAAAAGCATAATTTTATCCCTTCATTTCCACTGAGTGGAAAAGATCAATAATGCACTTAAAAACACATAAATCATGGAAGCAAAGCAGAGCCTCTCAGAACCTCTTTTGATGTGGAGACAGCACCTCCTCTTCTGGAACAACCCACATATTTAAATCAATATTGATCATTTGGCCCCATTGTATCTTATAGACAATATTAATTAATTATATTAATTAATGTCTCGGTTTCCTTCTAACTGAGGCTCCTCCTCAAGTCTGTGGAGAGGGCAGAGTCAACCCTGGCAGGTTCCAGCCCTTGGCACCCACTTTGGGTTTGAATGAAATGCAGGTATGAAGTGACTTGCCCAAGGTTATGAAAAATAAATTATAGAGGAGCAACCCAGCACTGAAACCACAAAACCCAGTGAAGCTCTTAAACCAAAAGGCCTTTTGTCTCATCCAAGAAATTTTAAAAATAACATCTCTATAAAGAGCAAAATTCCAGACAAAGGTGTATCTGACACCATATTTAACACTGTTCTACAAAGGAAATTAATTTTAAGCAGTCAGACAGAAATGTAAGTAGTAGGCCAGTAACAAGATGCAAAGAGAGTCTTCCCATTCTTCCTACAGAACAAAAATTGTAGAGATCTTAGTTTGGAAAAACAGAAGCAACTCACCCAGCACCATTTGTAGCACCAGTTCCCTCCATGGGTTTATCCTTTTCTTCTCTGTGTAGTTCATAGTCTGAGTGCTGTGGATTTGCTCCATGAGCTCTCCTGGATCAGCTTCAGTCCTTTCAACAGAAGAAATAACAGTTCAAAATTACTAAAGGAACATTTTCTAAAACAACCAACGTGTCCAAGCCCCTCCCATTTGTAGTAGGACTGCTCAGGTGTCATCTTAACAAAAACTATTGTTCAAAATGTCACCCTATATCTTCAATTATTTGCCAAATCTGGCAGAATCACAGAATCCTGGGATATGCTGAGCTGGAAGGGACCCATCAGGACCATCCAGTCCAACTCCTGGCCCTGTATAGGCTGGATGATTGTCTTCTCCCTGTTTTTCACAAATCCAGTGTTTTAGAGAGGAGAAGGAAATAGATTTCAATGTGGCTGAACAAATATTTCTGCTGGAAATTTCTACCAAAACACACTTTCCCTGCTGTCCATGACTTTTTTGGGTTTCACTCTTTCTTAGGATACATCAATTTATTTGTATGACTTTATAGAAAAAAAAAACACAACAGAAAAATTGAAGAACCATCTAGGTGAGATTTGGGAGGTTATTTCAATTAATATTCACTGCTGGTATTTCCTTAGATTTATCCATTCTAATTAGCAGTGATTTAAAGAGAAAATCCTGCTTGTGTTGCCTCAAGGCACAAAGAAACAGCAACTGGTGCTGCTTTAACACATCCTTCCTGCACAGGGGGAGGCACCAAAAGGATTCCTTTCCACTTCATCCCCAGGGTCTCCTCCCTGTGGGATTTTTCCACGTTATCCTACAGATGTGACAGAAGGGATGGGTTGGAGGGACAGTGGTAAATTCAGTGGAAGGAATAAAACATCTTTAAGGCTGCACTTGTGGGGAAATGAATCCTTCCTGCACACACAGCATGGATTTGGGTCCAAGGGCAGATTTTAGGGAGTGGGTTTGCAGAGTTATCACCTCAGAGGAGGGAAACAAGGCACAGAGCTGTGCTATCCCTCACCCAAATCCAGTTCCTCCACCAGAAGGTGGCTATTCCAAGAAAATGTCCTGGGTGCAGAACAACCAGCTTGAAATGGTTTTCCTAGGATGAATCCAACCTTTGCCCAGGATTGATTCTGGCCATCCTGGCCACCGATCCCCCATAAATCAGGGGATATTGTTGTCCCTGGCCTGTTCTGTGGTGAGGAGCTCCCACGGATGGCAGGGAAGTTTCCTTGCAGAGCTGAGTGCAGGGAAGGCCCTGGGAATGTGCTCTGCAGCAGCATCTGCATTGCAGATTGGAGAGGGAATTGTGCCCCAAGTGCCAAATCTCAGCTTTGAGAGCAAAACTATTTTTGTTTTATGCCAGTGCAGAACACGATCCTTTGGGTAATACACAACTGGGTGGTTTAAAAGTAAAAGAAAAAACAAAAAAAACCAGTAACTGTCCTGCCAAGAATCAAAGTAATTTAAAAATACTTTAAAAATTACTTTTTAAAACATTTTTGCTCCCACGTAAGATTGACAGTAACCCAGGGCATATGTTTTTATTTACTTGCTTATTTTCAAAGAGACTTGGAAAACTCAAGCTACTGTGCAGAGACAACTCCCCACTATTGATGGGGTAAAAGCCAGCACTGTTTAGGAACAAATGATAATCAACAAAGTTAGCAGAGATTTTATTTTGGTAGGAACCATGAGCAGCCACAGCAGTACAGCAACATTTCCTGGCAGTTTAGAAGTAGAAGAGAACGGGATGTAAAAATTATATGCTGAAATTATTGCAAGAATTTACAGAACCACAGAATCAACTAGGTTGGAAAAGATCTCTGAGGTCATCAAGTCCAACCTTTGAAATTCAGATTTCTCCTACTCAAATTTCGGGATAAATTTCAGATTTAACACATTTGGTCAGGACTATCGTAAGGGCCAGGGAACATTTCATTGCATCTTTTTCCCAACAGCAGGTGTTGGGAAAATAAAAAGCCTCCTTTTCCTTTGCTCCTCCTCCAGACAAAGCTTGGTCCTTCTCTCCCCCTTAATGACAAACCCAACATGCAATTCTCTGCCATTGCAAGGACCAGTTTAAGTGCAGGTTTAACAAACACTGACAAAGAATAGCTGTATTTACTAATACACCTGATGATGTGAAAAACAGGTACTTCTGCTTACCAGGGGAGCACAGGGCAGGCTTCGTGTTGTGTTTCAGCTGCAAATGAGTTTCTTTGGTAGAAATGTTGTAGCCGTTTGGAGTTGGCTTCACACCAAGTCCCTCAGACTACAGCAAAAACCTCCCCCTCCCCTTTGGGCAAAGGAAAAAAAGCTATACAAACTGAAAGACCAGAAACTAACCGAGCTATAGCAAAATACATATATTTACATATATCACAGTTATATACAGTTACAACACTGTGTACATATAAAAAGAGAACTCCAAACAACCGCCCCCAAAGGGGAAGGGAAAGGGAAAAGGGACAAAAACCACAAAAGAAACCCGAAACAGGTATGCACAATCAATAAAGAACTAGTAAAAGAAAATCTTACTACTCTCCTTGACTCAGCAGAATCACGCCAAGCACCGCTGGCACCCTCCGCCTCCTGAGGCCTACAAGGCCTCACTAGGCCTCACTAGGCCTCACTAGGCCTCGCTCCCCCACATGAGCAGGACCAACAGCAAAGAACCTGTGCCTTCAGATCCACCAGAAGAGAACGGAGAAGAGGCTTCTCTCTCCTTCTTATTTATACCCTAGCTTACATAAAAATCATATGGAATATTGGGAACATGGCCACTTCCTTGGTTACAAACTGGTCACCAAGAAAGGCCTAGAATAAAACTACCACAAATGTGCTTTGTAGCAGTGGCTGAGAGTGAAGAGTGTAGTGATGGAGCAGGGAAACAGGCAGGGTTGGCAGTGCCAGTGATTAAACCTGCTTTGGCACATAAACTACTCTTTAAAATGGAATACAGTGAATATAGATAGCTGCACTATCAAACAACCTGAGAGGAGAGGGAGAAAGGACAGCCTGGTTTGTGTGCACAAAACTCTTCTTCCATCAGTTTGAATATGGTGATGCCCTTAACCCACATCGATGGTAAATGATATTATTCACACATCTTCAAACCCTGTGTGTGAGCAACCAGCTCTCAACACTCACCCCCTGCCTGACCCCAACAAATCTCAATGGATTTTTATACAGGATTGCGTCAAATATATATATATTATGGATTTTATTTTTATACAGGATTGTATAAAAATGGATTGTAACTTATCCTGGGATCCACTGAGTACCAGTGTACCCAGCAAAGGAGCAAACAAGAGCAGAGAGCAGAGAACTTTTGTTCTGTGTCAGTTGAGCGAGGGTGCTTTGCAGCATTGGGTTTATTGTTATATATGTACTTTAAGTCAATATTCCCCTCTGTTAATCCAGACCATCTCTGTTTGCTTGGATGAAATACATAATGACTTAATCTGAGATTTGATGTAACAGTAAATGAAATTTGGCCCTGCCATCAAAACCATTGGAGGGAAGGGACATGATCTTAATTATTGCCTGTGAACAGTCCATCAGTTGCCCTGAAAAAAAGGTTTTTACAATGTGTTTGGTGTCCAATTTCAATCCTGTAATGCCTTCTGTGTGAGGTGGCTCTTCACCACTACTGCTGTGACTGTCCCTGTTCCACAGCCCCTGAACTGTCAACTAATGAGAGAAGCAACAAGGCCCACCCATCCACCACTGCTCTACCAGAGAAACAATTCCCTCATATCTGCTCCAGAGAACGAAAACAGGGAAAAAAGGAACTCTTCCTGCCAGACCCGGGGTGCATTTCTCCCCCCTGTCTCAATACCTTAGATCACGCTCTGCTTTCAGCAGGTTACAGCACATTTCACTCTGTCAGCAGGAGATAATTTGCAGCCCAGGTGATGGATCTCCCCGGCTGAAATGAAGCATCTCCTCGTGCTGCTTAACGAGGCTCCTGATTCTAATCACGTCCATCACGATGTGGGGCTGAAATTCGCTGGGATATCTACATGGAGGAAAAAGAAGACAAGCTGAAAGGGGGAAAGAAGCTTTAAAGGTGAAGAAACGAGGTACAGGCAAACCCCTCAGAGGAGGAGCCAGGAGGACTTTGGATTCCCTGCCATTTAAACTCTTACAGTATTCTCTCTCCCAGAGATTTAGCAAAAAAAAAAAAAAAAAAAAAAGAAGGGTTTGAAAGACACAATTTGAAGATTAATTGTGGTGAAATGACTTAAGGAATACTACCCACTTCCCTTCCCTTCACCCAGGAGTGACAGCTGCCTCACATGAGCAGGGATTCCCGGTGAATAAGGAGGTGTGGGAGACTTCCCTTTCAGTTAACAGGGATTAGTTAACAGAATGGGCTCACTGTAGCCCCTCCTTACAGGGGAATATCCGTAATTTCAGAGCCAAGATAATTCTGGGAGTGTGCCCTGGAAAGCAATGACCAAACGTGCAAACCCTGGTGCCCATCACTGATCCCTGTATTTTGTAGGAAAAGTGATCTGTGGGTGAGAATGACCAAACCTCTGCCCGTGTCACCTGTATTTATACCACAAATTAATTTAGATGCGGCATCTGCTACAAAAATACGCTTCCTGTGTAACAGTCCCTAAATTCTCCACCAGCACCAATTTTCTGAAGGTGTGGGGAGTGTTGTCCTCATTTCACAAGCACAGAAATGGAAGAGCAAAGCCACCCAAGGACCCTGTGGCAGTGACCAAAGTTGGATGAACTCGTTCTCTTCAGCTCAGAGAAGAGAGAATGAAGACAGAGAGATGTAAATCCTGCCTGCCGTGGATAAAATGGGTGAAACACTATTATTTGCTGCTTCTCACATTACAAGGATTAAGGAGCCGTGGTGAAGAAATCTGATAAATTAGTTTAAAACCAGACAAAACAGAGATTTTTCTCCATAATTGAATCTGTGGAATTCATTGATGCAGGATGTTGTGGAGCCAAAAAAACACAGGAATAATCCATCTGAAATCGAAGGCAATTTAACCAACAGGGAAAAAAAATCAAATAAAAATATCTATATCCACAGCTTCTTACCCAAAATTCATCTCGAACTTGTCCCTCCTCTTTTCTATGTCTAAATTCTTTGAGTGGGAATGAACAAACCATCACAGAGCTCTCTAGAAACACGGATATATTTCCAGTATGTAGGCCTTGCACATCTGAATACAGAGATTTTCCTTCCCACTGCGCTCCCAGGAACTTCATCTTCCAGAGAGGGAGGAAGACACCAAGTTCCAGGGAAGAAATGGGTCTGTAAACTCGGTGTTTTTGATGGAGCTCAGCCGATGGCTCCGTCCCACTCAGGAGAAATCCTCCTCCCACAGCCCCTGGGAGAGAGGGAACTCCTCGTGTCCAGCACTCCAGGCAGAAGGAACTCTCCACTGCATTCCCAGCTCCTCTGAACTTCCAACCCCCTTGTATCCTCTGATTACTGGAAGCAGCAGGATTATTGCCACGACCTACTTTCCAGAGTGTTTTCCTGCCACTTGGGGCTGGGGCTGTGACGTGGCAGGAGCTGCTCAAGTGCCACGTGAAGCCCTGTCTGTAATGCAGGTGCTCTAGCACTCTACACATGCACAGCTACAACTTCCCACAAAACAGACACCAAAAATCACGTTCTCTGCTGCTGGGAGGCCCCAGGACACTCCAGCACACGGTTTTTGTGGCTTTGTGCTCCTCAGCCTCATCAACCCTGAAGTCAGGAAAGCCAGAACAAAGCCAGCCAGGATTTCCCCCCCGGCTTTATTAATTAAGCAGCTGTTCCTGTGGGATCAGCATGTGCAGGTTCTCCTCCAGAGGCAAATGTGTGCTGTGCCCTTGAAGAACAGCAAGGTGTTGGCTGTGCCAGAACAATGACAGCAAGGGATCTTCTGTCCTGCCCCGCTCCAGGATGAACTCTGATCCTTCCCACTGTCCATGGATATCCCTTGTTACATGTAAGCTGTCCCCAAACTGCCCTGGCGTCTGCAGGTCATTGTTTCAGACACCTCAAACACTCCAAGGAGTGGTGCCTTTCCCTGTGCTCCTGCCTTTGGCCACGCAGAGCAATGAAAAAGGAGAGTTTGCTCTTCCTAAGGCTGAACTTTCCCAGGAAGATACAGTGCAGGAAAGGTGGGAGTTTCACCTTTCTGCATTGCTTTACCTCTGCTGGCCCCAGCTCTGGAATTAGAGAATCACAGAATCACTGAGGCTGGAAAAGACCTCTGAGGTCATCGAGTACACTCTGTGCCCGACACCCACCTTGTCACCAGCCCAGAGCACTGAGTGCCACGTCCAGTCCTTCCTTGGACACCTCAGAGATGGGGACTCCCCCACCTCCCCAGGCAGCCCCTCCCAATGTCTGACCCCTCCTTCTGGGAAGAATTTCTTTCTGATGTCCAACCTAAACCTCCCCTGGCACAGCTATGTCCTCTCCTCCCGTTCCTTGTTCCCAGAGCCCAACCCCTCCCCGACTCCCCACTCCTGTCAGGGACTTGCAGAGCCCGAAGGTACCCCTGAGCCTCCTTTGCTCCAGGCTGAGCCCCCCCAGCTCCCTCAGCTGCTCCTGCTGCTCCAGCCCCTTCCCAGCTCCGTTCCCTTCCATGCACACGCTCCAGCCCCTCCATGTCCTTGTGAAGGGCCTGGAACTGGGCACAGCACTGGAGGTGAGGCCTCACCAGTGCCCAGCACAGGGGGACAATCCCCGCCCTGGTCCTGCTGCCACACTATTCCTGACCCAGGCCAGGTACCAGTGGCCCCTTGGCCACCTGGGGACACTGTCAGTGCCTGGACACCCCCTGGATGCAGCAGCACTGCCCAGCACTGCCCAGGCTGGGCCATCGGCCGCTTCTCAACCCAGCCAGGAGTGACCCTGTCCCAGCCACGGGCTGCAGCTTCTCCGGGAGCTTCCCTTCACCAGCCACACCGTGGACAATGGATTGTGCCAAAATTCCCAGAGGAAGATTACAGGAGCCTCTTGTGACTCAGCCAAACCCCACAGAGCCTCCCCAGCAGAACCCCTGGGTCCTGTCCCCATGCTGCTGTGCAGGTGTGGTGCTCCAGCCACGAGCATTCCCGCTGAAATGAGCGGGATTACAGTGGCAGAAGGAAAAGATCGGCCACACACTGTTTTATCTGAGGGCCTGCTCTAATTGCTTCATGTAATGAGTGGATTCTTCTCTCCACAACCATGTCTTTATTATAAATTTAATAGGTCTGTAAGTTGGGCAGGGGCTGACCCAGCAGACCTGTTGGGCTGACAGGTTTGAAGTGACATCCCTTCTATTCTAAGTTCCTTTTTGGTATCAGAATAGCCGAGATTTTCCCTGTAATTGTCAGGACAGTTTTAATTACTATCTGAAGAGCTTTCACCCAGAAACATCTCACATTCCTGCTGCCTGGCAGGGCTGTGACAGCAGGGATACACCAAGAGCACTGTCCTTTAGCCCCTGCTCTTCCCCTGTGCTTTCTCCTGCCATATTCCACAGGCAACACCACTGACATCCAGTCCCTGCAATTCCCATCCCTCCACTGCCCCCACTGTTCCCTCAGCACCAAAACAATCTCTCTGTTGCTCTTCATGTGAGAATAAATCACCCCAGCGTCTGTAAAAATGGCAAATGTCAAGTGGGGATGCCCAAAAACATAATTAAATGTAAATTTTAAAAAACATCATAAACTATTAAAATACTTGGTTTTGTCCACAGGCAGGAACTTTTTGTCCCTTTGTGGTTTATGTTGAATAATTGCTTAAGGAAACACAGGGTTCTGTA